CCCCAAAACCCCAAAACCCCAAAACCCCAAAACCCCGATTGGTGGTCCCCCAGTTGAAATAACTTTTTATGTGAAGGAAAGTAGGGAAAGTAGGGTTTTGGTAGGAAGGGTTAAGGGAGGGGTTGGGGTGGAAGGGGAGAGAAGGGAGTGAGAGGGTGGAGGAGGTTGGAGGGTGGGGTAGGTGGGGGTTGAGGGAGGGAATGGCTGGGCTTGGGAGGGGTGGTAGGGAGAGAGATGGAAGGGTGTTGGATGGTATGGGAAGGGCTGGATGGGTCTGGGGAGGATTGCTTTGGTGTTGTTGATTATATAATGTCAAGATCATGGTTTAGAGTTGTAAATTAATACCAGTTAATCATGTTTTTTAGTATAGTTTTCATCAGATTTTTCGATTTTCGTAAAATTTATAGCATCTGACTGCAAAGCTAGCATGAAATAAAATATGAAATTCATAGAAAAATCTGAGGAGATTATAAATCGGCTGATTATGGGGCTTCTCATTTCTTATGGTTTGGTTAAGCTCGCCTCTCAGACCTTCTACTAATAGTCTCTAATTGTCATATCTGAAGAGCTCCTGATCCAGGCTCTGGATTTTTTAAAGTATACTATTACTGAAAGATTTCAGATTATTGATCAATACTTCGCTCAAAACTTATTATTTCGGAATTCTTTAGCCAGGATACAGAATCAATTTAATATACTTGTATCAGGGTCTCCCAAATCACTCAGGATAGCATTCTCCAGAATTTTATTGTAAACATACGGCAATTTTCAAAATTATATCATGATTCTTGACAAACTATTATCCTAATAGTGCTGCTTTATAACAATGCATTAAGAACTATAATACATAAGGACATAAGTTAGACTCCCAAAAATAATTTTTCAGCTTATCCAGATCAGCACAAGGCAAGTTTTGATTAAAGTCTGCTAATTGAATAAATTCTTTCAGTATTTTTCATTTTCACTCTCCTCCTGCAGAGATCGGAGAGACTCCGGAAATTGAGAAGCACTTTCTAAATAGAGTATCCTCTGTGATGGGTAGACTAATAGGGAAGTTGGCAAATTTTGATTATAATTGTATTAATAGGACCTACTCAAATCGTCAAAAGACTATACTTACATAACCAGGCTAACTTTCATAACAATTGAAAAATCGATAATTTCGTGACTGCAATATTCTTATTCTTATGTGAGACCCTTTCCAAGGCAGGTCGACTTCAGGTGAGCCTGAGCTTCTTTGTAGAAATAGAGATATGATCAAAATTATAAATACATTCTTAACTTTTTATGAATAATGATCACATCCCTAGCATGGAGTGCATCCCAAAGGTCTCAGAGAACCCTCAAATTTGGCAACAATTACGGAATGGACAAGGAGTGTTAAACTTGCGTGTCTAAAAAATCGAACTAGCCATGGGTCTCTAACCCGCTTTCATCAGTCAAAATCAGGTATTGGAATTAAAATTAGAGATGATTTTTATGAAAGAATTAACTAAATACAATTGGTGTCTTAGATCTGATTGCGTATCCCTTCTTGGGGTGGAAGATTGTCTTTGGCTTGACGGCTTCCTCTTGATACTTTCTTCTCTTAAAATTCTTAAGCTCTTCTCTTGTGGCCTCGCATTTCGGCAATTTTATTTTAAAGTAAATCATCTTCTGATATCTAAAGTATATTAAGCACAAACTTGAGCGGATATTTTAAATAGAGCCCTGGAACCAATAATTAGAACCTTAGCCATCTTAGCATCCTCATGATTTTAAGAAAGGGATACATGAGCTACTAAGCATAGGAATTCTTGCATTATTCAGAAACATCCCAAAAAGGCAATAGCTGGATGTTGTCAAGGAACTTACACAGTTCTTTTTGCTCTCTGTCTTTTTCTGTTTGATACTGGCTCAATGATCTCATTCAAATTCTTGGATTCATCTATAAGGGGTTAGGTCATACTTTGTCATAAGTCTCTCCTTCGAAGAGCAAGCTTTTGAGAATCGAGTTTAGAAAATACCAATGAGAGTGTTTTTAGAGTCAACTACAAGGAAATTTGCTGTAAATGATTGATCAATGTCTTGACACACCTTCAGACTTCTTCTTAGCCTTTCTCCCTCTCTTCTTAACAGGCTAAAGGTTATCAGGGCAGTTCATACCTCTTCAAGTGCTTCCACCTGCGAAGCTGATATTAAGGACTTCGATTTCGACAGTGGAACTTTTGATTTTGAAATCGTAGGCTCAGATGCTTGTTCAGGTTCTTGAGATACACTTGATAATTTTCTAAAGCATGAAACCTTATGTCTAACTTCTTTGATAGAGGAGGGCGCCCTTTCATCAATGTTTCTAAACAATGTTGGTCAGACCATGCCTGAAGAAAGAAATTTGATTTGACTTACCTATTTTAGGTGAGGTTTTGACAGCTGTATCTTCATCATCTTTGTTTTTCACACATCTAAGGGAATAGTTAGACACCTTGATTATTGAAGACGAGTAATCTGTACGTAAATTATAATCTAGTGCAAGTTCTCGTCATTTATGAGTGGCTTAAGCGTTCGAAATTTAGGGAAAATAGCTGTAGAGAATAATTATATTCAGAGAAAATATTTCCTCAAATAAAATTTCGGATATTTTCCAAAAATTTGAAAGCATGTTTATTATGGATAGTTCTGCTCGGCAGCCTAGGATGATTCCTGATGTGAGGTAGGAGTAATTGAGTAGTGATACGAAATCTTCCAGAATAGTTTAAATTCCTCTCAGAACCTTCTTCATCCTATTCACTGAGATTTCCAGAAAATTTGAATATTCAAAATTCCTTCTGATCCATCATCCAAATTACTGTGATAGAGACTTTTTAGCTAACAGATTGATAAAACTCGGGGTATTTTTCTGTAAATCCCCTTGTCCAATTTATATTCTCTCACAATGAGGATGGCATTGTTGAGAATAATGCTGTTGATGCAAACTAATAGTAATACCATTCTTTGTAAAGCATAGATACTACAGACAGTTATAGCCCAATCTAACAGATTATTAGCTCTAAGCTAACATCCGGTCAGTCAGTGCTAAGCAGTTGTGAAGAATGAATGATAATTCTAACCAGGTAAGAGATTTCAGGATTGTGCAAGAAATTCTAAATCATTTGAAACTTCTCAGGCATCCATAGGAATTCAAAAATCTTGGCAAGGCTAATTTTTCTTGCTTCTTAAAACAAGATATTAGTTAAGGTTTTGTAGCGACATTCATTCGCAACATTTTCTATTGCCTCAGAAGAATCTATGAATAATTTTAAATCGTTTACAGCTTCCTGATGGAGTATCCCAACATGCAGATGAATAGGAAGCAAAAACGGGGTATTTTAAGGATCCTAGCCTTGAGGCACATAAAAAGGCTACTTAGATAAATTAATCTCCGTCTTGATTTTTAATTTTTCATCTCTTTGGATATTTTCCATTGCCTACCTATCCATTTTGGGCACAGTCTTCGTCCATCTAGATAAAGAAATCATTGAGAAAAGGAGGCAATTTCTTTGCTTACTTTACAACAACTACTTGCTTTGACTTAGGCTTGTAGGATTCAGGTACGTATCCAATTTTGGTACTGTTCTTCCACAATAGGTCGATCTTGCTGGGTCACAATCCTTGAGTTTCTTTATAAGTTCCCATACTCCTTAAATTTTCTTTTAATTAATTCGATTCAATTATTGCCAGCTTAAAAGGGGTTTTGGGGTTTTGGGGTTTTGGGGTTTTGGGG